CACACACACACACACACACACACACACACACACACACACCTCTAAATGAATGAAAACCATACAAGATTTCTTACCTTGCCATCTAGTCTGCTGATATCATCTTCAGACGCCTCAGGGGACAGAACGCAGTAGAATTTGGGCTGAACATTTGAATCTAAAAATAGATTAAATACATGAAAATATGTTATTTTCACATCTAACACCAATAAAAACACCATCACCCTCTTCACAGATAAGTAGTAAGATCACAGACTGCGTGAAAATAGGTTTGTGTAAGAGAGTAGTTGCCAGCCATGTAAATGCTGGCAATTGCTATGGTTAATTAAATATTTCTATTCTACCAGTTGGAGGGTAGCTAACCAGCACTCAGATAAAACCTATAGTAAAAAATGTGGCAAGCAAAAATGGCCCAAGTAGCTGCTGAGTTTTTGTAGATGTTCTTGCCACTAAAAAAGTAAAATTCCTTTAATGGTTTTACCTGCTGAACAATGTTTAGCCCAGTTCTCCTCCACCTCTTTGAACCCATAGTAAAGTGGGAGACTGCTGCGTTTGCCATCCTGAACAGAACTTGGCCCAGTGGATGGTGGGGTGAGGAGGTTGTACTGCACCTATAAATATTCATGGAGAAGAAAAGCAAAATTTACCATCATCATAGTCCTACACACAAAAATGTACTTAAAGATTCACCATTAAAAATAGATGATTTGGAAAACCAACTTTTCTGGCTGTCATATTGTAACTAATGTAATCGAAAGCAAACAAAACAACTATTCATCAAATCTGGAAACCACAGATCTGACTGTGTTATCAAGAGGTGAAAATAGAAGCTAAGCCAAAGCAACTTATTGAGAAAATAACTATTTTGAAGCCATACGTTATAATCAAGAGAGGTTCTTTTAGTTTGCTATGGATTAGTAAAATATTGAATCAATGTATTTGCTGAGTCGTATTTTACTTGTTTAAGACGAATACATACATCCAAGCATTGCTTATGCAATTTACCATCAAGACAAGATGTTGAAGATTATAAAATGACCATTAACCTGTTCGAAAAGGTACACAGGAGCCTTGGAGTAGTGGCGCAGCAGGTAGTCAAAAACCAGCAGCAGGCGCGCCAGGTTGAGGGGCACAGCCTTTAGTTGAGAGTCTCTGCTCTGTGCCACTTCAGTGATGGCCTGGGTGACCTGGGTGAGGACTGACCATCGCCCGCGCTCTGACAGATTATGGAAAAGGAGCAGTAGGAGCTGGAGGTGCTCCACATTAAGGTCATCTTCACCATGAACTGAACCCTGGATGGTGTGTTGCTTCAATGTTCCCAAAAACCTGACATAGTGTAAGATAGAATATTCTTTAATTAATACATAGTCAACGCAGTACTAGGAATCAGTTGTGGTTTTACAAGCTATAGTTCACACTAAATGCCATTTTACACTAAAACCTTATAACTTAACTTGGATGTGAAAGTCAAGCAGCACATTGTCTATGAGCTCAAGTTGTTTAATGAAATTATTGGTAAAAAAAGAACAACTCGATAACTTTGTAGCAATACAAACAGAATAGAAACCACTCCACGGCACAGAACCGCCAGATGTGATGGTTGGCATACCTTTCCCAGACTTTCATACACTCAGGCACATCTGGTTCCCCTTGCAAACTAGCTTTGTGCTGCCATATGAGGAGAAGTCTAGAGAGGACTGATAATGATTGTGGATGAATGTACAGAGGCCAGGGACCCTCTGAAAAGGGTGCAACACCTAACTGCTGGAGAAGAGTGCTCTGGGGATGACAAGAGGTACAATAATAAGATGATGACACTGAATAACAATTTCTCATTATTACTGGTTTATCGTAGCAATGTTTGGTTTCTGTTTGTGTCATGTTATTAGTAAACTTTTATAATCCTCTTACCTGCAAGGCAGGGGATGGAAGATCTGATGTCACCAGAGTGTGGTTGAAGTGATACAGTGCTAAAGAAAACACTTCATCTGAGGAGCCTGTTAAACAATAACATGCATTAAAACTAGTGGAGTGCATGGGGTACCCCAATCACTGGCTACAAGGCCATTGTATGATAGACAATCTGTGATTTTCTTATGTCGTACCTTTTACATCTTTGTCCACGTCTTTGATGATACTGGCTAGTGTAGCCATGTGCTGCTCTGTAAGAGAGACGCTCAGGTAGTTGCGGATGAAGTTGTTTCTGGACTTGAGCATCGAGGTGGTGATGAAGTTCAAAATGCTGGAGGCCAAACTGAGGAACTACAAGAACAAACAAATATGAGTTGCTAATGCTGTCACATATTAAAATATAAAAACCTGAATAAGCCGTTTCGAATGTATGCTAGCATCAAATATAATACAAGTACTGTTAACTACGGACTTGCAGTAGATTTATTCAGTATGTACACAAACGAGTCCTCACCAGTTCTGGGTCTTTACGGCCAGCTAAAATGTTGCCGTTCTCACTGGGATTCTGCTTGCTGGGGCTCTTCAGTCTGGGAGAGATCTCCAGTGGTGGGGGTGGTGGCGGTGGTGGGGGAGCTACTTTGTCTTTGGTGGGGGAAATTGTCTCTTCAAACCAAAGTCCCAAGATGGGTTCACTGTCATCATCTATAACAGGAGAGTCAAAATGAGCTGCATGAATTTCTGACAGTGGAGATGAGAGACTAACAAGGTATGTGTGGCGTGGTAGCGGTGTCATCAAACAGGCAAAATGTAAAAAGCTTCAAACTAGTTCATGACACCTACAACACAGTGCAGGTGGAGGACAAGAGGCAAACACTGCAGTAAAAGAGTGAACATAAACTGATGTTCTGTTGGTGAATATCCACTTAAAGGAGAAAACAACTGATTTCATCTTCTGAGAACATTTCACAGAAGAAATTAACTATTTATTGTTTTCTCTGAGAATGCCATAGAAAACATTAACATGGGTACTCAGTGAGTTTGAAATATGGGACACACCCACAGGGGGGTTTTCGATCACTGTGACAGCTTGAAAACGAATGGAGCTATGGTAGGAAGGTATAATGTCACAATACTCCAAGTACCAATAAGATCAAGTATCTGTCCGAAATTTCCCTCTGGATCAATTAATAAATAAAGTAAGTATGTAAGTAATTAAATAGTGAGTGAGTATGTATCCATCTGTGTATCTCTATCCATCTCTCTGTCTCTCTCTCTGTCTCTCTCTATCTGTCTCTTAATCTCTCCATCTGTCTCTCTATCCATCTCTGTATGAACAGGTCAAAAGGAGATAATGCCTGACCTCCTCACCAGCCCTGGGTCCTTCCCCATCATAGATGTTGCATTATATAAGCTACTCCTCATAACTAGCTTTTGGCCTGAAAATTCCCAGCCTTCCTTTGCCACATAAATAGCAGAGAACTGAACCCTCAGATAAAGCATATCCTCAAGGGTGGTGGCTACCATTGTGAATTTAATGGATATGAATCAATGAAACACTTCACCAACATTATGATTAGACCAGAAAAGCATTTGACTGCAGGCGTTGTCAGTTGAAGTATGTACACATTAATTCAAAAACAAAAACAAGAAACAACTATTAAGTTTTACAAGAATATCACTTTAAGTTGATATTCACATTTGCATGCAACATACAAATTTCATAACTATCAAGGTGACAGCAAGACATAGCATAGTGTGTGTAAGCCCATAGTTTACATGTAAAAGTTGAATTTGTTGTATTTAAGAATAATACCAATGTTTTCATGTAGGTGCTACATTATTTTTGTGTTAAGGAAATAATCAGATATCTGTAATTGAGGCCTGCAATAAAACATCTTCAGAGAGATCACGTTGAGATCATTACTGTTGGTGGCCCTCACGTCTGATGCTACTTAATTTGCAATGACTATACGGAATGACTACAAGATAAGGCAGGGGCACCTGGGAAACTCTTTTGCATACCACAACATTTGGTGGATTACTGCAAACGGTGGTCATCAGTGACTTCTCTATTCACCAGCCTGCTCTCTTTTTTTTAAGATAATAAGGCCTGTAAAGACTATGAGCACCCACATGTCAACACCACTGGTATGATCCTTTGACCCACACAGAGCCACAGCTGAACCTCTTCGACAGAAAGAATCAATCTAAATTTAGTTCATGTCAATTACAATGCAAAGCATGATTCAGAGAAGGGGCTATTTTGCCAAAGCCTTTTCACCTGTGGCTCTTTCATTTTCTAAGCTATTAGGACCACAGCTCAAAGCCTATATTGTGAGACAAACAATAACAAAATGAATCTAGGACAGTGAAGTGGACACCAAGTCTTTGACCTGAGGACAGAAAACTGCTGACCTGAAACACAAGCTGCACTTGTCTTCTCCTGTCTTCTCTCTGGTGAAATAGTAGACACTGTCAACTACACTGTCATCATGTGATGAGGGGGACAAACAAAGTTACTTACTCATCTGCGTGCATGTCAATGTGTTTACCCTTCTCCATGTTGCCATAACCTGACTGACTGATCCACTGACAGCATTTCACCACTTTGCAGATACAGCGCAACACTGACACTAGCTTGGAGATCAAACACATACATGACTTTATACAGCACCTGCAGCCACACTGTGAAAACTGAGGCACCTATGAAGGCATGGTACATTGTTGTTGGGATACTGGCTTCCTGGTCAAGTTACGCATTAAGTGATGAAAACATAGTTGTGTCTGCATCACATCTACAATTACATTGTGCTTTAACTATACCTTCATTTAATAGTCCATTATATAGCCTTCTAGATGCAACCATCTCCATTCATCTTTGGTTTTAAACATAATGATTGACAGCTGAAACAGACTCGCAATTGGTCAAATGTGTGAACCGCTGGGACCTCCACCCCCTGATCGCTACTGCATAGACTCTGGCTCCTTATGACGTTGCGTTGGTTTCTGGGATATTTTGGCTTTATTTCATTTCATCCATCTGTATATATATATACACAGATCATGACAGATCTTTGGATAAATGGACTGTAGGTAGTCCTTTATTGTAAAACGTTACCTAAATGCCCCAGTAAACACCCGTCTCAATGATCTGTAACTGCAAAACATTTTTATGAGAATGGGATGATCTAAATACATTAATAACTAAATTTACTAGACCAGTTTCTATTTTTCCCTATTGTGACAATTCAAGTCCTATGCTTCTTTCCCTCTGAATAAAATGTTTAATTCTCTAGATGTTTAAATGTATTGTTCATTTCATCATATTATTAATGCTGTGCAGAAAAATAGGTGCACCGTTTATTAATTAATCTGTGTTACTACTCAAGTTAAACTGATGTCCAAACAATTGCCAAGCCTAATGCTGCTATGTGGGTACATGTGTTAGCATGAACCTTCAATTTCAAGGGAGCTTTCTGAAGTGGTGGTGTAATTGCTTAAATCCAGAGTGAGAACGTACCTTGACTGCTATCCTCCTCTGTACTGCTGAAATCATCCTCATAGTAGGTGTTTGAATCTGTGGAGGCGCTGGCATCGCTGCTGACTGAACCCTTCCTCTGTCGCTGGAGAACACAGGCCTGATAGCAGCAAAGACAAGAGCATTCTTAAAAGATGATCGCACATCGCAATCTTTCATCCACCTTTTCACATGTTTTGTCAATCAGCCACCACTTTGTTAGAAAAACTGAATGGAGAGGATAAACAAAGCAGCAAAATAGTTCTTGTTTTTGGTTTATCAAATGTTTTGTAACATGTTATCCTAAATTTCTGTCGTATTTTATGTCACCTATGTTATGTCAAATTACACTTTAACACTGCACATGACTATTAAAACAGTACATTATAACACTAAATAAAGATATGTGGATATAAATGATATCACCTTTTTGTATGAAGTGGAAAGAAGGGTGAAGAGTAGATTGGTCAGGGGCACAGAGTCAATGAGCCTTTGGACTCTCTGGATGGAAGTGCTCTGTGCCATGATGTTGAGCTCAGCTGGTGGCCCGTCACTTGCCCAACCCTGCAGGTAGAGGGATAGAGGGGTTGGAATAAAAAAACACGGGATCAAAATATAAAAATACAAGATTCCTCATTGGGTCTTTTCTTAAATATGTTATTTATTTAATAATTATTTAATTATTTTAAAAACATGGAGTTTAAGCACTTTCTCCCCATCCTTGAGAATTAATAAGATGAAAATCGTTTGTATACAGCTACAACAAATGAGTATGTATCTTTGAAAACATGTGAGTCTGCTTTTTGTGATAAATCAAACATGATTTGGCCAAAACAACTGAGAAGTTATGCAAGACAAGGACATGTTTCCATCTCTATAATAGTGGTCACAAGTCACCATTGTGCTTAAACAGATATTGGCCACAAGACATCATTAAGACAAATGTGGTATAATCATTTCTATTTTATTTATTAAATAAATGAGACTGTAACTGTATTGAATAAGTATGTAAGTACATCATTTACCCGGTGGAGAGCCTCAACTTGCAGGTCCTGGAAAAGCGATGTCAAAAGTTTGATGGCGTGATTGGCCAGGATAACGGACAGAACTCCAAACCCTTGGTGTCTTGAGGAAAAAAAAACACAAATCAATTATCAAAGCGACCTTTAAAAATATATCAACATTTAAAGAAATGATATGTCTGAAATAATCAAATGGTGCTTTTATAGACCTTTGCTGCAAGATACATGGAATCCTGTACAAAATGAGGCCCTATTAGAGGTTTCATTTATACAATAACAGCATAGAATGATCATATTTATTATTAATTGGAAATTACCCTTTGCCGGGACCAAGTTTAGGCGATCCCGCGCCATCCTTGGTGCGAGCAGCAATATCCCGGACACGCAGGGCAGCCAGAGGATCTTTCTCCTTCCCTTTATCAGCCAGAGCAGTCGGGCTCAGGTTAAGAATCAGGTACAGGCTGTTTAAAAGGCACCAGGCTCCAAGCAGCTGGAAGTTCTGATAGTGCTGTATACACAAACAAGTAAAAATGAAAATTAATCATCAATCAGAAAATTGATTTCATAAACACCTTTAACACCGTTCTTAACTGTGCTTAGCTTCAAAAAGAGAGAACCTATGAAGTGCCACAGTCTAGCGAAATGAAAAGGTGCTGCTATGATATTAGTCTCCTATTGTAGTATAGTACTCAAACCCGGTACTCACCTCTCCTCCAGCTCTGCGGGAGTTGCTGATAGCTTGTCCAATCATTTCATAAATCTCCAGCTGTTGCCAACACAAATGTTGCACTTGTTACTATTTTGAATGTGCTATAATTGGTCATGGTACGCATGCTAAGGATCAGTTATATGCAACTATAAAAAAAAAACATGGAGAGATTTGATGCAGTGTGAAAATGAGAAAATAATCTGTCTAGACATTTTTAGGATACAAGTAAGTTTCACCCATCAACACAACTCTCTCACTCTTGGTAAGTAGGGCCTCTGTAAAAACCCAGTTTGCAATAAAACTGGCAAAAGTGATTATAGTTTCTATTTAGCACATGACCAAACATTGATAATGTTGTACTCAGAATACTCACACATTTCTGGACAATTGTTGCTGCATCATTTTCATAGTCCTCCTCTTTAGTCCCAGTGGAGGCAGATCGAAGCTGCAAGCCACTTCCTACCTGCAGAATGGCCATGCAAGTAGCCACACTCACACCTAAATGGGTACAAGATATTTTTTACATTTACACAATTTGACTTTCAACACTGTGCAAATAATGACTATGAAACTGTTGCTTTCAGTTATTGACGCAATAGGGGAAAGAGCAACCGCTGTTTTTCCTGCTGGTGTTAGTACAGTCAAGCACATTCCTGCACTGTTGTCTCTTGAGATTGTTGTGAGTGGAGGAAACCCAGCCATTTTATTTTAACCTCAGAGAGTTACAACCTACCAGCATAGAGACAGCTCAAAGCCAGCACGGTCATATCCATCAATCTCCCTGGTGTCAGGGGCTCCAGTACAGGCAGGGAGAGTGTATCCAAAGCCATGGTCACGTCGATCACCAATGAATGAAATCTGGGCACAGGTTTTAAATATAGAAAGTTAAAGGAATGTCTGGAAGAAAAAGCTTTTCAACACTAGCTATCTCATGCAGAAATGTACGCAGATTATGTTGCCCTTTTAAAATAAATAATAGTATGACAGTATAGAGTATTTTTAATTGTGACCTTAGTAATTAAAAACATATTACCCATTGCGGACAGCAGTGGCATCAGCCACTGTGGCAGGCATGATAAAGAAAGAGTTGGCTGATACAGCGTCTTGGAAACGGTTGATGTAGCGGAGAAAGTAGGGTAGGTTGAGGCACACCCGCAACAACTTCTCGGACCCACCTGGAAATATAAGTCATCGGGGGGGAAATATTAGCTCCAAAGAGAAAACGAGAGAAAAAACACCATAAAAATAAAGCAACAAAATGCTACTCACCAAGTTCCTGTAAGCTTGACACATTCTGAGAGACAAAGGCATTTTTCATTTTGGCCTGAAGAGCTTGATCTGTGGTTTGGTCTTCACAATCACTCTCAGCCTATGATTGGGGAGGGTTAAAAAGAAAATTAACAACTATTAATGAAAATGCATGAATGTGAATATCACTGAATAACTCAACCAATCAATTATTAGTGTATCAATTCCTAATTCAAAAGGCCTGTTCTACAACACTGACCTGCATTTGAGCTGCTGATGGAGAGGCCAAGATGGTCGTAAGGTCAGGGTTAAAAACTGAAGTCAGTTGATTGAAGAAGTTCATTTGCACTTCTTTGTGTCGAAGCTCTGGATTGACAGCACTGGGCAACTCCTTCTGATCTTCCACTGGTGAATAAACAATGACAATTTTCTCAGTCACGTTCCAAATTTTGCTGTTGTTTTGAACAAAGGCCTGTAGGAATATTCTGTCTTTTATCAGACCCAGTATAAGGACCAACATGAGTGAATATCATTGAACAATCAATACATCAATCTGAAACAAGTGAATAAAGAGTTCAAGAATTAATTCCAATAGAGAGACAAATACAGAATATAGCTACAGCCCCAAAAAGTTTTTCAATGATTTTTATATGAAGAGAAAGTAATTCAGTGCCCTATTCTGTTAATATAAATAAACGTTGGTACATCTCTAATTGGACACTTACCATCTGAAAGGGTCTTGACAGTTTGAGGCAACTTGGCAGACTTCATCATAGCAGTGAAAGTAATGATTTCTGTGCGATCTAGTCTGCTGCAGCCAGTGCAAAGTCCTTTTATAAGAAGAATCAGGTGTTTCTGAGGAAAAAGTTTCTGTTTTATTGGTGGGTTTATGCAGTACATAATGTGCTTTCTAAAAAAGACAATGGACACACATGAGCAGGAAATAGCAAGAGAATGCAAATTTCAAAATCCAAGAATTGAGCCAACGTAGCCGACACAGACAAATTCAGCAGCATTTATATGTGGCTGATGTAGATTTTTTTTAACTTCATAAAAGTGACTTGCAATTATCCACAGACTAGAGCCCCACAATGACACTCTTCCCAGCAGATTTCTCTTACCTGTGATACGGCACATGCTTCATCTGGGTTCTCCAAGCGCAGCAATGAGAACTCAATCAATACTTTGCACGCCGCAGCAACCGACAGCAACTGATTTCTCGGTACTAAAGAGATAGAGCAAAAATTATTAACTGACTGGAACTTTACCTACATTTAAATATTATACTTGACTCCCAGAAGTAATTTCTAATCTATTACCCCAAAGAGAAAAGAGAAAAATACATACTTTGTCCACATACTGTGGTGATGTAATGTGCAGAGAGTGCCACGAACGATGAGTAGAAAGGCTCATACTGTTTGTCATGGTGAAGAATGTCAGATTCACTGTAAATGACAAATACATATCAGCAATTTATTTCTGGACAAAAGAGTGAGAAAGAAAGAACAGACAGACATCATGGTGTCATTTAAAGCCATTTTCAGACATGAACTACAGAGGTTGTCTGCACAATGCGGTCCAGACTTTCTCCAGGATTTTCCTTTCACATTTGAAGAATGCAGCAGGAGAGTCTCTGCTAACATGCATTAAAGACAGAAAATTATCTGCAGTGTTCAGGCGAGGGGCAGGCACAGCTTGCAGGACGCGTAACATATAAATTACGCTGCAGAGATAACATAATTTTGTTTACAGTACGTTATAATATTGGCAATGGCCATTTTCACTAAAGGTTTTTCAAATCCTGTCGTCTTTCCAAGTTGACATCTTCATCTGCATCTTCTACATGTATAGAATATCGTCAACACGCACACTCTCGGGGTGAATCCTCCAGATAATCTCTTGCTGTATTCTCACATGGGATCACTTGGACTTTAACCAGAGATTTTACTCGGGCCTGGCAGAAGAAAATCCAAAAATATCCACAACAACAGATTTGGACATTTGCAATGTCACATACAGCACTCCCAGTTAATGTTAGGAGATGTTCAGTGGATGTCTGAAAGCAGCTTTAGAAAAACAACGATCACATTCTAAATGATTAAAAATAAAATCCTGAGTCGATAAACACACATGCAAACCTTCATAAAATGTAGTGTGCAAATGAGATTAACCAAAATGATGTGACATTACATGTTGTATTATACATATTATGATATTAAATTCCATCGCTTCATATTTTAAAGCAAAAAGCTTTCTGTTCTTCCACTTGGCCCAAATACAAGCTGGAAATTGCATAAAGCTCATAAACATGAAGGCGTGATAATGTGACACAGCACAGAGTCATTCTCATACCTGTATCATTATATGGATATGCAATTACTTGTATCAGCATACTCCCATGCAGAGGGAGAGCTGTCATTATAGCTGCAGCCCAACCCGTGTGGCCAACCTACTGTCTGCATAAATCCTTCACAAATCATTTCTCTGCAGCTTCCAATATATTTATCTGCTCGGCAGTGCAAAACTATTTCACTGTATAATACAAAACATACAGCCCCTAATATCTACAATCACCATAAACCAATGACTTTCTGAGATTACAAAACAATGAGGTTTCATTCAACTCCTTGGTTAGCAAGTTTGAAAACGGTCCAGGGGGAAATGCTACAATGACATTAAGCCTTTAACACCTCAGACCTGCTAGTCTTCGCAATTAAGCCTTTTAAGATTTAAGTTTAATCTAAGTTCAATGCCTGTCCTCTATCTACTCCACTTCCTTCTTCTTTGCTAAAGAAACCACTTCTACATTTTGTTCCTGGTCTACAAAGCAGTGAATTTCCGAGCTCCAGATTAAATATCCGACATGCTACCAGTTTATCAACCTCCAGATCACTCAGGTCACAAGACAGCCATTTCCTCCAGTGCAATCAAAACCTGGACATCAGAGCTTTCAGTATTTTTCTCCGCTTATATGTTGAATACCCACCTGCTAAATCATTATAAAAATAAGCTCCTATTGCGTTTTAAATGGACTTTTAACTTGTTGGCTGCATGATGTGTCAGTGTTATGTTGTGTGTTTTCATGTATTTATCTTTATTATTGTAATACCTATTTTCTGGTGTTACGCAAGTACTTTTGTATGATATTGTGATATTCAAACAAACTTGAATCTAACAATACAATTTCTCCCCTGTGAAAGAGAACATTACAACTGCTGGCTTCATTTTTTCTTGAGTGCTATATATAATTTCAGTCAATTAATGATGTATTTATGTAACTACTTAAAACCTAATTTGATATCCTGTGTTAATAAAGATTAAATCAAAAAATGCAAACAACAAGCGAAAACAATTCCCCCAAATGTGTGTCACTGAATAATCAGCTTTGAGATCGAATAATAAAACCAAACTAGTCTTACTGCTTTCAGCCAGCCTGAACCATCTCTCATGCTAAGGATGTTGACTTTTGAATTGTCACAAACTTCGCCTGAAGAATGCTTTAAATTTAGTTCATAATGTAGCTAATGAGTGAACATCAGTAAAGTAATGGCCACATCAAACATGTATACATAACTACTAAAGCAAAGCTGAAGTACAATGGACATTCTGTTATGTGAAATCCTTCTGTATAGGCAGACTTTTGGCGATGCATGACCGTAAAGTCACATGTAAATCTACCAAATTAATTAGTGTAGCTAAACCATATCCACATGATGCATAACATACAGAATAAAAACACTACAAGTGTGTATGTTTATCATTTATAACTTGAGCAACATAGGCCTACTTGTTTGTCAACAAGGTTAAAAAGCACACTGTCCTATGGAAATATCAAATTAAAGATCAAACTTGACCACTAATGCAGAAATTAGTAGAATGTCTTGGTGTTTTCTTTTAGTGTAGGTTGAATTCTGAACTTTCCTAAGATCTGGGGCCTAGTGATTAAAATACTTTAGGTTACTCAAATAAAAACCCAGACTATTACTTTTACTCCAGCAGTAGCATATACAACAATAATACTGTTGATTCTTGCTGGTCCCTTGCTTAACTTGAAAAATGAAACTAACAGCAGTAGTAGCAGTTGTGCTCAGATTGGGTTTTGCCTGCGAAAACGAAACTTATACACACAGTATCGAGCTCTTCACTTGGATGCCAGATGGATCAGCTGATGTAACCACTGTGTCAAGTGACAACCTGGCCAACGCACAGAGCCACTGACACCAAGCTATTGACTTGATAATCACCAAGGACGAAATGTGCACAAACTGCATAGTCTGAAGAGACGATCATTCACAGGTGCCCTGCTATAAGTTCCTCCTGCGTAACAGCCACTGCAGCAGACAGACATGGGTTACAAGTGTCGGGTTTCCCATTTAACCGGTGGCCTTACATTTGATGGGATAGCGATATCGAATGGGTAGCATTCATTAGACTGCACATTTACATAAGGGACCCATCATCACCTCATCAACACTGAGAGGCGAGAGCAGGATCTCCGCCTACTCTTAGCTCAACCACAGACACACAGTACATAAGGATAAGCTAACTGGGTGTTAGCCAGCTAATGCATCAACAGTATATGGAAATGGTCCGAGTATGTGACAAGCTCAGCACACAAGCCGAATCGCATTTAGCCAAGTTAGCTGATGTGGTCAAATACGAATGTCGTCATTTCAACGCTACGTTATCTTGTACGTTTGGAAGGCCCATCAGTTCGCTTGGTGGCTAATGTTTGTGTTAGCTAGCTAATGATGAAGCAAAATTCCTACACGCTACAATGCGACATAAATATGGTTCATACGACAATAAAGTCCCATGATAGTACACTATTACAGACGACTTAACGTTTGAAGTAAGTTAGCTGACGTTAGCATTTTAGCCAACGTCATGAACCCGATTCGAAGCCAGTGTAAGTTAAGCTGAGATAGCGTCCTAGCCGCTAAAGTTAGCTAAGTGGGTAGCCCTTTCCCATTGAACTCAACTACCTGAGCTAAGTTAGCAAGTTAGCCAGCCAGCTAACATCTGGGTGGCCTGGGCTGGTATCCGAGCAGACAGAGGCCCGCGATTCCCTGACATGTAACCGGTTACCTGTTGATTATAGACCCAACAAGCTGAGGTAGCTCTTTAGTTTCAAACGCGGTGTACGACGCCGACAGAAGCGGCCGCACTGCTGCTGTCCATTCGTGCTCCCCATCTCCTCCGCTCGACGCCATCTTGGACTCCCGTAGAAAAAAACAGCCAGTGGAAGAGGAAGCTGCGAGTCGCAGGGGGCGCTCACATCGCTCGAGTCTGGCAAAAACGTAACTTCGAGGGCCTCCAACGAATAATATTACATCCCAGGGTTGATCATCGCAGATCGTGCAGTTCCTAGATTATAAGAAATAATAATAATAACTCTTTCCATACACAAATAACACAAACAGCACTTATTATTATCACTTATTCCCTGATGTTGTTCCCATTGGACAGTACAGCTGGACAACATTTACAAATCGTTTTTTGATTCCATAAGATATATTTGTAAATGAATTGTGTGTGATGAGACACATTTTATTTGAATGTGGTGTATTACAGTGACACCATGGCCTCCCTGAGTGCACTGCATGCCTCATGAATCATAAATGGTCAGATATATAACTAGAATGGCGCTCATGGATATGAGGTAACTTATATCAGAGTACCTCCATGCAACCCAACCTGTGTGGCAAACCCACTGTCTGCAAACAACCTTCACAGGGACATGACAGGCAACTGGACCTGCATGTGTTTACTGAAGACATTTTAATGACAGTGTATGGTGTAGCTTAACATCTGAGGAGTTCATATTTATTTATCTATTTGTTTAATAGAATTTGTACATTATAACACTCATGGAGGTAGAATTTACTGTTGTACCTCACAATGTATTATGGAGCTATGTGCCTTGCTTGCCTGAAGGGGGCAGCACCTCTCGCTCACCAGACAAAAATGAGGCTCGTCGACTTCCGACTTCCTCCTTCCCATGAAGAGCAAGTCGAAGCTACTGCTGCAATGGAGAAGCTAATTTCGTTGTGGCTGAAATGTGTCATTTTGTGCAGCACCGTCGAGGCCGTGTTTGAGGATCAAGTGGGGAAATTTGACTGGTAAGATGAATGTGGAGAAGGAGCCGCATCCGTGTGTTGTTTAGAGCCATGTTTTAATGTGGGGATGAGAATGCTAGCACCTGTCACAGCCATTAGCTGCGACCCGGTGTGCTATTGCTGGACTTTGTGTGAGAGAACAGGCCAAAAATAAATACTTAAATAAAACAAAAACACAATTAAATACAAAGATTGTATGTACTAGCTTTCCTCGGGTGCTGCTTGCTTGTAGGAAATCAAAGGCCTCTTTCAGTCAATGAGAACAATCTGAATAAATCTCTCAGCATTTGGATTCATTTTAATCGAACTGATAATTACCAGTTCACTGTCCACCAATATTTTCTATTTATTTCCATTTCAGCTGTCATAGTGACACTGGTGTTCGGTCTCTGTGCTGATACAAGCATTGGCTTTATTTATAAATATAAAGAAGCTTCATCACCCTCTGACATAATCTTTCCATTGTGATTCACAGGAGGCAACAGTATGTAGGCAAAGTTCGTTTTTCCCACTACGACACACACGTGCAGTCGTCCAAAAAAGTCATTCTGGCAACAGAGAACAACGTCTTTGCTGCACTCAACACCAGGACTGGAGAAATATGTGAGTATTTTGTTAATCCCTCTGAAAAAGACAGTCCTATTGGGCCAATTACGTTATAATAACAATGATATCAATTGTTTGAAACTGCTGCTTTTCAATGTTTGTCGCAGTTTGGCGACATGTGGATAAGACGGGGCCAGAGGGAAACATTGACGCTTACCTGCAGCATGGACAAGGTAAATGTTGTCACCGAGTTGAGCTCTTAGTTCCTCTATTGGGAGCAGATAACTCATTGAGTTGTTTCCTTAGATGCGGTGCTGGTCGTAGGCAACGGCCGTCTGCTGCGCTCCTGGGACATAGATGTCGGTGGTTTGAATTGGGAGGTTGTGCTTGACTCTGGCAGGTGACTACAGCTTTGATTGGCAGTGACTGAGAATATACAATAATTGCCTTTATTTTGATCAGGCATTAAGAAGTCTTGTTGTCTTTTTAGTTTCCAGTCAGCGTGTTTAGTTGGACAACATGACACAGTGAAACATGTGGCTGTCTTGAAGAAAACTGCCATCTCTTTCCATTACCTCTTCAATGGCCATCAAAAATGGATAGAGAATCTTCCTGAAAGGTAAATAATCATATTTATGCCAAAATTTAAGCCCTGATGTTGTCTGTGCACTTTAAATATTAGTTCATTGCTGTATTCATAGCAATATTGAATGTATTTCCATTAAAAAGCTGATTATACTTTTTTTTTTTACATTTCTGAGTTATGCTCACATTTAAGTGACAAATCCAAAATTTTAGATTTAAGTAAAAATTGGATTTGTAGAAGCGTAATAACGAAGGTTGTCATTATAACATTGTGCATCTGTCTGACTTTAATCTCAACAGTGAAACCGTGGATTACCAGGCTGTGTATTCTGGTGGAAATGGTGAAGTTTATGCACTGGGAATCGTTTCCCATTCCCACATTACTATTGTTGCTTACAGTGTGGAAGATGGAGAGATTATCAAACAGGTAATCCTTATTTATTGTAGCCATACATAGTACAAGTGTTCTCTATGTGCTAAAACCTTCTAGGCTGTTGTTTTATCCTGCCAATGTCAAATCTTAATACATTTGTAGAATATAACTACTTTGATACTTAGTTACTTAAATAAAATGGAAACATAATTTTGAATACATAAAATAATGATAAAACTTTGTATGAATAAAATTCCATGTTTGTCACGTCTCTGCTTGTGTTGTTTACAGATCTCAGTTGAAGCTCCATGGCTGTCCAACATACAGGCCAGCTGTGCAGTGGTTGGCCAGGGGATGTTGACATGTGTGGACTCTGCAACTGTGTCCTTGTACATGCTTGACTTACATGTACAATCACAGATGACCCAGATCCCCCTGCAGGTACCCACTGAAATATAACTAAAATAAATTAAAACTTTTCCTCTCAATGAAGTAAAGATGTGTCTACTGCTTTTGTTTGCTTGTTTTCTCCAACCCTCTCTTTTTTCTGCATTTTCCTTCCAAAATAATTAAACTGTCTCCATACATCTCCTCAATATCTCTGTCAATCTCTGTCTCTTCTTGAATTTTTTTCCTCTAGACACTGGGACTTGAAGCTGCCCCTGGATTCCATCCAGCACTTGTGTCCACTCAGCCCAACCCAGCTCGTCCACCACTGTCAGAGTTCTTCCTCCAGCTCGGACCTGAACACCACCTGCTCCTTCAGCTCAACAATGGTCAGATAGTTACGCTGAGGGATTTTAAGCCAGTACGTAACCGTTCCCCTACACTGCACTTACATTTCATACATGAGATTCTGATATTAAAAAAACAAATTACTTATTTTTTCTAATATTTTCTTTTCAAGAGTGTGTGTTTATACTGTAAGTTATGATTGTCTTAATGTTAAAAATACCCCAAATATAAAAAGTTCACATTGTTTTCTTATGTTCTAAATATGTCTTAATAATAAATATGTCCTTATACTTAGAAGATTTCCATAAAGCGTATATCGCAATGTGCCATTCTGTGATATTGCAGTTGTTAGTTTAAGAGAAAGTTTGTGTAAATGTTTGATGACGCATTTAATTTAATTACTCTTGTCTTATAGGCAATGCTGGTTTCATTTACTACCACTGGAGAGAAGACTGTTGCTGCTGTCATGTCACCCAAGAATAAAACTGTGAGTTAATGAGAAACCATACATTCAGATTTGTTATGTGTGGTTTAGTCCAGTCTTATTTGTTCCTGCTTGTGCTTGATACATGACTGACATAGGAGATTGATTTAGAAATCAAAGGTGTTGCACTAAAGTGCAGAATCTTTCCATGGTTGTTAAGCTGTTGAGAATGTTAAAATGATCACATCAAAATCAAATCAAATTATCAATTTCTTTTTGAACCTTTGTCAAAGATATAACTATCTGGTTATTCCCTATAGGCTTGCAGTCTTAACCTCTTCAGTGCAGAAACAGGACGCAGACTTCTAGACACAACAGTGATTTTTAATTTGGATCCTGATGGTGGGAAACCAGAGAAGGTATGTCTGGTTTGTTCCAGAGTCTGTGGCTCGTCATGCAACCATGGCTTTTATACAAAGTCAAAAAATATTTACTTTTGGAATAAGCTTCATGGTGTTACCAATGGGTTTGCACTTTACATAGTTTCCATTCTGTCTTCCAGCTTTATGTGCAGGCATTTCTCAAGAAAGATGACTCAGTTGGCTACAGGGTCATGGTGCAGACAGAGGACCACACACTCACTTTCGTACAACAGCCAGGTATGGATGGTAGAACAAGCAGCTTTATCAGTATTGGAAATAGTTATCTGTCTGTCATCTGAAGTATTGGTTATTCTGCCTGCAACAGTGCTAGTTTTTATTCTACCACTGAGAGGCGCTAAAGTAAAGCAAAACATTTTTTACATACTCTTAGTAAAAAAAAATAGATATGCAGACTGAATTTTTCCAGGGATGTAGTTTGACCAGACCCCACAACTATGCTAAAGTCTGGGCGTTATATTTTTCTACTTGTGGTTTGTTGGTATCACAAATAGTTGAAACTTTTGATTTCTGTGAAGAGTTGTTCTCTCATGGTGATCACTGTTAAGTACATTTTTCAAAAATTCAAAGAGATGACTGAGTCTTGCTTTGCCTTGTCATATCATTGTGGAATATTTTCATCTCTTAAACACTGTTAATACTGTCAGGCCAGTGTCTGGCAAGTGAGTGGTCGGGCATGTTGTTAGATTTCATAATACACACACAAACCTGGCCGCCTCCACAGACGTGAGGAGGAAAAAAATGGGTCATGTCATAATTCACAGAAAGCGTCAGCATAAACTGCATACTGTCACAGGGTGTGGAAAGTGGAACAAGTACAGAACAATAATGAGTCTTGTTTTCCAGGGCGTGTAATATGGATAAGAGAAGAGGCACTGTCAGATGTGGTGACAATGGAAATGGTGGATCTGCCCCTCACAGGAACGCAGGCAGAGCTCGAGGGAGAGTTCGGTAAAAAGGCCGGTAAATGTCAAAACCAAAATTCCTCCTTTATATTTTACTCCAGAGGCTCCATCATTAACAGCTGATCCCTGCTGTAGATTAGTACTGAGTATTTCATCTGCTATTTCAAATTCTCCTGCTTGTTTCATTATTTTGATATTTATGATTTTGAATTGATAGTTAAACCTAAATCTGTGAATTGTTGCTTTTACCTGATCCTCACTTCAGCTGCCCAAATTTAGTTTTGTCATGATTTGTTCTGTTGCTTTAGGCCGATAGCCAGTTCAAAAAACAATTCTTGAGTATGATGAGACAATGAATCACTTGGTTGCTATTGGCTTCACCTTCTTCTGCTTTGTCCTGTTTTTATTGCTGCGTTTGGATTCAGCCATTCAAGGTAACATACTTATCTGCTCCTATTCAGTAACTCTTATTTCGATTCCTAAGTTTAGGGTGTCCTGCTCTATCCTTTCTCTATGTCAACCCTAATCAACACTTGATTTCACTTTTAGGATTAGTCTTGTATTATACTCCTGCAGATTGTGTATGTAAATTTGCACCTCCTCTGTTTAATTCACTATTTAATTAATGATTCAAACAATATTCTGCAGCCTTTTATTTTACTGTATTTGAGATTTATACAGTCATCAGTGATCAATAGAGCCTTTTAATTTTGTGATGTGCACCTGTGATTTGATTGCAATGACAAGATGTCCTCCACAACACAGATCTACTAAATTGTGTTCTTGAAATTGTTCCCATAATGTGATGTGAATCCACTGAGAGTCATTTAGCAGCTTGTTTGCCCTTGCTGTTTTTTGACTAGATGGATTGTTGTCCATGGTGCTGAAGAGGCTCTCCTCTCAGTTCATCTTGCTGCAGGCCTGGGTAACCCACCTCTGGAAGCTGTTCTATGACGCGCGGAAGCCTCGCAGTCAGGTTAAAAATGATGTGACCATCGAGAACCTCTCAAGAGATGAGTTCAACCTGCAGAAGATGATGGTTATGGTTACTGCATCTGGGAAAGTAAGAAACTAAAATCTTCTGTTTTTTAAAACAACTTGACCTTTTTTCAAAACTTTCCAACAATGTTCAAACCAGATAAATCAAGTTTTAATATTGTTCACCTTTAAATTACATCATATCAACTTCACCAGTGGCTTCTCTGCTATAATTACCGGGGCACATGAAGAAGGACAAACAAGCCAGCCAGTCAGCTGTATTTTCCTTCCAATGTTTTTATTGGTCACTCATTATGGATCGTGATTATTCTCTGTTTATTATGTAACACGAGAAGACTCCAATGCACGGCCTCATCTATAAACATGATTTGCTTATAGAGAGGTTTTGCTCATGTTTCATTAGCGATCATCTCACACTGCTTGACAACGTCATCAAACTACGTCAGAGTTACATATTCTATATTTAACCTTGTATTTGTGTTGCCTTGTTTCAGATTGTGTCTATTTTATCAGCCAGACCCAAATTACACCCCAATAACTTGAGTCTACCAGATCTCTGTGAAACTCACTTTTCCCTCTTCATTTCATCCTCTGCTTCTTTTCTGTTCAGCTCTTTGGGATTGACAGCAAGACTGGCAGTATTTTATGGAGGCACTACCTGGACAACATCCCCCCCAATGCCGCCTTTAAACTAATGGTGCAGCGGACCACTGCTCACTTTCCTCATCCCCCACAGTGCACACTGCTCATCAAAGACAAGGTATTTAATAGCAAGGCTTCTTAAGAATTACATTTCATTATTTTGTGGTCAGAGTAACCATTAGCAAAGCCAATGACTGTACTGTGAAATCACAAGTTTTGTGAGTCACAAAGAGTGGCGAGTTTCAAAAGCGTTGTTACTCATCTTGTCTTTATAAACACAGTCAAATCTCAGTACTTTTTTCCCCCTGCAGTTACCAGCACCTACATGAAAATACTTGGTTTAAACCGAGTAACTTTAGAAGCAGTGTAAATCTATTTAATCACTTCTTATAATTGTTGCTCTGTTCTTTTTTCATCAGGACACAGGGCTGGCAACATTTCATGTATTTAACCCCATCTTTGGAAAGAAGAGTCACATCACTCCACCCACTCTGCCTCAGCCAATACTTCAGTCTCTCATTCTGCCGCTCATGGACCAGGATTATGCAAAGGTTTTACTGCTGGTTGATGACCAGTACAAGGTCAGTGCCAAACTGTAAACCAGATCAACATCATAAATGAACTATTAAATGTACTGTAGGGTATGTCTTCAAGCCATCAGGGTCTTTGAGAACTTCGAAAAGTGCTATATAAATCCACTGTATTATTATAATTATTACTTTCTTTTGTTCTTCTTAGCTGCATTCTTTCTGTCTACATTTTATGATAGAATATAGCTAAAATATAGAATTTAATTATAGTGAGTGTACTGGGTGAGTGATATTGTCTATCGAGAAATAGCTTCTAAAAAGTGTATTTATCATATTGGTTTTCCCTCAGGTGTCTGCCTTTCCTTCGACAAAGAATGTACTGCAGCAGCTCCAGGACATGGCCTCATCCATATTCTTTTACCTTGTTGACTCCAGTCAGGGAAGACTTTCTGGTTACAGGCTACGAACGGCAAGTCAACAAATCTTTGCTGCATTATTTCAAGGTTCTTTGCACATCAAGCCTCAAAGAGGTTTGGACAAGCTTTAGCCACCAGCAGGTGGCAGATTGTTGCCAAAGCTGATGACAATGGTTGCAATATCTTAATTGTTTTTAACTGATGTGATCATTTTCCTCCATATTTCAGTAATGGAAAAAAGATCAAAATAGTAGAATATATTTTACATGACAATGTAATTGAAGGGTGTCAATTTAATTTACTTGGAATCAAGGAAATCAATACAACCCCTTTACGTGTGACTAGCAAGAGGATGTGTTCAATAATGTGTAAAATATTCTGAGAATAACAATTATATCCTGAGCGTTCATTGTGCCTGTTCACACTGAGGTGCCACAAAACGATAGTTAGAAAAAGCACGACTGAATGGAAAAACATTTTTCGTTTTCAGGATTTGTCCACTGAACTGATCTGGGAGGTCTTCGTTCCAACCGAGGTGCAGAGGATCGTCTCTATCAAAGGGAAGAGGCCCAATGAGCATGTGCACTCCCAGGGCAGAGTAATGGGAGACCGTAGCGTCCTGTATAAGGTACAATAAATTCACCTAAACCTTGACTAACACTGTGGTGTGGAAAGAGTGTTGTGCTGGATTGGGTCAGTGCGCTGCCTCATCTTTCCCACCTCAGTCACAAAGACAGTCACTCCCTGTTTTCTGATGTAAACGGAGAACTCGTCATTCCGAGAAGCACTGAACGTCACGTCTCTGTTTCCCTAGTGAATCATGTTGACTCTCTCCCACTGACTTGGAATAAGAAACAACACAGTTTTTTTCTCAGACTCAAGCACTCTGTGTTATAGTTCTTGTTTATAGTCTTTGTGACATATTATATGAATCATTCTATGCCTTCTCTTATCATCAGACACACTTACATGTACATGCCTAAAATTTACAATAACAACACAAACACCAAAAGTCTGTCTGAATATCTGTTGATACAATCTCACAATACAAAGGTGTGGGATAGATCAAACATCATACTGGTGTCCTATCTACTCTTAGAGCTTTGTCAGTAGTTGTGGGCAAAAAAATATTTTGTCCTGAGGTTCACCTAACATCATCAGTTATTGTCCCATAGCAATCAGGACCATCAGGTCCTGTGTTGATTAACTTGTCACACAGATGTATTTGGCAAACAAGGACGTATTTAGGACAGTGATGAAAAGATATTTGCTATTTATATTTTTATTCATGATCTTTTGAGACATCAAATGTGTAACTGCAAAATAATTCATCCTCATCCGATACAGCCAAGAAGCCCATTTGATTATTTAGTAGGACCTGTGTTTTTTTAAATTAATTGGTCATTAAAATGTTTTTTTTCCCTAGATGTAAACAAATACCATTTTACATCAGAAACCTGTTTATATTTATCTTTATGATATATATCTTTGGCTAAAAGTATTTCACTAAAAGTATTTTTTATACAATTTTCAATTTATATATTTTTCTTTTATAGTACTTGAATCCCAATCTCCTGGCGGTGGTAACTGAGAGCACAGACTTGCATCAGGAGCGCAGCTTTGTCGAGATCATGTTGATCGATGGCGTCACTGGTCGCATCTTCCACCAGGCTGTTCAGAGAAAGGCCAAAGGACCAGTGCATGTTGTACACTCTGAAAACTGGGTGGTGGTAAGTATCAGTGACGGCTGTAGTCTCTGACCCTCTTATTGGCAGAAATAAAGATGAGAAATAAAGATCTGTTACGTTGCTTGGTTACAGTAAGAATGTGGTGTTTGCTCATGGCAGATGTATAAAAATGACTAAGCACCCACATTGTAATTAGACATATTCAACAGAAAGAGTTGAAACACAGGCAAAGCCTCCAGTAGTCTTGTTATCTGACCTCTGAACGTCTCCCCTGACTCCACAGTACGAATACTGGAGCACCAAGTCTCGCAGGAACGAGTTCTCTGTAATTGAGCTGTATGAAGGAATGGAGCTGTACAACAGCACCGTGTTCAGCTCACTGGATCGACCACATGCTCCTCAAGTACTTCAGCAGTCTTACATTTTCCCCTCCTCCATTTCTACCATGGAGGCCACTCTGACTGAAAAGGGCATCACCAGCCGACATCTGCTCAGTATGTTTCAGTGACATGTTTTCCTGTTTACCACACATTTTCTTTCCCAGTTAGATACAGTTGTTAGGATAACTTGCCTTTTTTTTGTCTCATTGCCTTTTTTTAATGTTTCTTTGCTATCTCACAGTTGGTTTGCCATCTGGAGGGATTTTGTCATTACCCAAGATGTTCCTTGACCCTCGTAGGCCAGAAATAGTGTCTGAGCAAATCCGGTAAGTCCTTGAGACAGATTCGGTTTAAAACATTTTTAAAGGTTTTTATTTTTTTCATCTCTACCTGTCTAACCTTTTCAATTGATCTCCAGAGAAGAGAATCTGATACCGTACGCACCAGAGTTGCTGATCCGTACTGAGTGGTTCATCAACTACAATCAGACTGTGTCAAGAGTGCGAGGAATTCACACTGCCCCCTCTGGGCTTGAGTCGACCTGCCTGGTGAGTCTGCCATCACGATACCAAGGAAACATAGTAGATGTAGATTACAAAGATTTTTGTAACAAAGTGTTCTCTCATGTTAAATCAAACAAAAGTCAGACTGTTACTTTTATCCTCGCAGGTGGTGGCATATGGTCTCGACATCTATCAGACACGTGTTTATCCCTCGAAGCAGTTTGACGTGCTAAAAGACGACTACGACTACATGTTGATCAGCAGCGTGCTCTTCGCTCTTTTCTTCGCCACCATGATCAGCAAACGCCTGGCCGAAGTCAAACTGCTCAACCGGGCCTGGCGGTAAAGTGACCGTCAAAAGTCTCATCTCTGACAAGCCCAGAGGCTGCACAGAGGACCTCAGCCCAAGGAGATGAGGTAGCTCAGGCCGTGCCTGTAGAAGAACCAAGGTCCAAGTTCAATAAGGCCCATAAGCAACTGCAGGGGTGAGGGGACGGCAGGGTGGGGGTGACGAGAGGGGTTAGAAAATGTTTTATGTGTTTATTTTTTAACTTATTTTGCAACCACAAGGAATAATTTCATAATAGAATAATCGTTTTTGTGCCATGTCGATTTGATGACATTTTTTAACACCTAACTAATTACAAATGAATGCAACATTGTTGGATCTATTAAATCATGGAAAGTCCAACACTGATTTTTTTGTGTTTAAATTCTCCGGGACCAAGATGGGACAAAACCTTTTTTAGATGAATTTATTAACAATGAATAGGCTGGAAAAAAAACAGAACAGGTGGCTGTTTTTTTACAATGCTGTTTTTCCCTAACTTGGACCTGGAGAATATAGACACTGCCTTTTTCTCGGAGGCAGAGGACTCAGCTGAACTTTAGTGCAGGAGAAGGGAACCCGTCTCCTGTTGTGAACATATGTAAACATCAGACAGTTTAGCAATGATGAATTTTTTCCCCAAATTTGTTTTGTCATGTTTCTGCTTTGTTAGACAGCTCTAATGGAGAGTGATAATAAATGTTGAGATCAGGTAAAAGAAGGCGTGCAACACGTGAGCATGATTTGGTTCAATGCCATAGTTATATGGTTTATACCTTTGGCCTGCTGAGATATCTTAATGCCCTTTGTTTTGATGGCAAATGAACTGTGAATATTATATTATTTCTCCTGAAGACACTCCCACCAAAGATGGTGACAAAAAATGTCACACTGTCTACACCATCACGTGGCTGATAAAGGAAAATGATCGACAGTAAATTTTATTTAATGTTATGTGTATCAGTCATCCACCAGCTCATGTTTCTGAGCAGTGTTCAATCTGCTGTTGTTGATGCTCCATTAAAATTAGTTTCAGATCTCCAGTTAATGTTTGTTTTTTTTACAAAAGAGAAGAGTTCGATTAAGGTTTGACATTATATAAGTAAACATGTAGTAAGCTAGGATCAGGAAACATATCTGTAATGTGTCTACTTTTTCTTACAATGAATAGGTTGAAATGCATTTTCCAAATAGAGTCTCCTTTAGTCCAATCAAGCTGCACCAAATTTCCCACACTTTTAAATACCAATGCCCTAGATATGTCTGTTTATTTCCATCAAGATCCATTGTCATGATCCAATTATCCTCTGAGAAATCCACAGCAATCTTGAAAAACACCCTGCCTCACAATGTGAAAACGTTTTACTTTTATTACAGAACAAGTCTGTGAGAATCCGGGCAGAGCAAGAAAACAAAACACTGCACAATGACCCAATGATAGAATTAATAAGTTATTTTATTTCTATAAATATATTAAAAACAAATTTACAATGATTCACTTTTGACACAGCAACATGTTGAACTAACAAACAGCCACAGAACCTTCATGAGAACTTTCCAACTCACTGGTGTAACAGAGGCCGTAAATGTTGGTCTGCACTAATGTAACATGATATTAATAATTATTCTCCGCACACTGACATTCATCCACTTTCAGATCTTTACGTATGTGACCATGCAAGCAGTATTTGAGTTAAATTCATACACTTTGTTAAATACCTTGCTTTAAAATGATCAATATTTAGTATTTGTCAACAGATCATAATTAAAAATAATGGCCTCTTTTACAAAGATGTATATAAACACAGCTGATGTGAAATCTTAAAACATTAATGACTTGCTGATGTCACTGATATCAAAAGGCCTGTCAATCATTATCAAGAATGATGGCAGGTATAAATTAGTTGGATCACTGAACGTACTTTTAAATAAATGAAACACTGACCACATAATAGTGAAATATGAAAGCAATCAATCAATGATATGACATGATAATTGTGAGTGTATAGCAGGGGGAATGTGGTTTGGTGTTTAAAGTAAAACCAGCTTTTTGATTGAGGACTGCACAATTACACTCAATTTGCTAAATTAATTAGCATTGAAATTGACTAGAATCCATTGAAACTTATAAAAGAAAGTTCATTTTCAGGTGAAGTCAATATGAGAGGAGTTCACTGTCAAATTAACTATGAATCATAATTATCTTAGTGTGACAATGATTCTGCAAAAACATTAAATCCATCAACAATATTATACTTAAGATGTAAAGCAGCATAGTCAAAAAATTCACGTACAAGCCCAGCTCGTACATACAGTAATTATTTGCTCACTTATAAGAGATGTCGTATTATCTCTGTTTCTATTGTGAGTGAGTGACTGACTGACAGACACCTTTTCTCCCTGTGAGATAACTGCAGTATCCCAGCAACCAAAATGAAAACTGGGAATAGGAGGTGAATATTTCTCTCCTGTTACTGAAAACACTGGAATGTTATGATGTTTCTCCCAGTTGAACTTGAGGAAAACGTGTTGCTAAAATACTGACTGGTAAAATGTTCAGTTAACATTCTCACAGTGTGAGAGTTTCTATCTGTTCTGCCACACCCTTGACGTTTCACCGTGGAGTCTCTCCCGTCGGTCTGTGCGTGCCGGTCGGCCCGGTGGCAGGAGGATGTAGTGTGTGGCGCTGGCCTGTCTCCCGTCCTTCAAGATGGGAACGATGCAGGGAGAAAACTGAGCTGCGGGGGGCGACCTTTCAGTGAGCTGTCTCTGTAAGGCCTTGCTCACATATTTTGGGTTAGCAGCAAAACTCTGCGTGGCAGGCATCACACCGTTGATATAAATTGGAAGGCTTTTGGGGCTAGGGGTGCGTGGTGGGCAGGGTGGGACTAAAGGGACCCTCGGAGGAATCTTGGGAGGCTTGTCTTCCCTGTGGGCGCTCACTGTCTTTACTAGAGCAGGAGGTTTTCCCGGGAGGGGGATGCGAGGAGGGATCAGTGGTTTGTCGGAGGGGCAGGTTGTGGTGCTGCTGTGTGGCTGGAAAGCATGGCCTGAGAAGGAAAAACGAAATCTGGCTGATTGCTGGGAATCCGACTGTTTGCTACACAAAGAATCTCCAACTGCTGACGCCACATGCTGCTGGTCCTCTCTGTGGAGAGCAGGTGCCCAGTTGTTGGCTTCGAACCCTCCTCCTCTACCTGTTGGTCTGTCCTCTCTGCCTGGCCAAGAGAAAGCCATGGAGCCGAGTCCAGCTCCACCTGCTGGGACTGGCTCCACCAGCCTTTCCTGGTAGGCATGATTCACTTGTCCACACTCTCTGTTGCTGCCCCTGGTTATGACCTTGGGGCAGCTTTTGGGCAAAAGGCGCCGTCGGTCACTGGTAAAAAACTCAACCTCGTTATCGGCTGCTTCGTCCGACATGAGCTCCTCAGGGTCAGGGAGAGGTGGAAGGGGTTTGGGCCCTCTGTGGAAGCTCCCGAACACTGTCCGTCTCTGGGAAGAAGGGACCACCTGGTCTCCCTCATGGGGCCGCAGTAGGTTATCTGACATCAGGCAATAACTATCAGAGTAGAATGGAGACTGAGGGCAGGAAATATTAGCTGAAAAAGAGAAAAAAGAATCACATATCAAACCCATGTCCTCGTGACATCTTAAACACCAAGAAACCACAGACAAGGTTTTGCTATCACTGTTGTTTCCTGAAGAGGGGAAACAACTCTCACAGGAAGAAACATGGAAAACAACTTGCAGTGAGAAAACCTGAGAGAAGTGATGGTGTAGGAGGGAAAAATACCAGAGGGAGCGGGCTGCCCACTCTTAGAAAAAAACTCTTGTTGTTTTTAATGAAGGTATCGTACAGGAAACTGGAGCAAGAATATGTCGAAAACAACCGCTTGACCTATCACCCTCTTCGTCAAACATCAGCCACAACACCCTGATTAACACAGGAATCGTCATTATCTGCAGGACGGGCCGCAATCTTAACGGAGCTTCCCATAACCTTCTCTGTGGAAACATCCGATGTGCTCCAGACTGCAGGAACAGCTGGTGACCAGGGAGCGATAGCTTCCCCTCCATCTCCACTCCGCTTCTCTGCTACACTGCTCAGTTCACTGATGACAAGCTCGCAAACACTCGCCTGGCCACATGCTGTTTTATTAGTCAACCAGGGTTTACACTGTATTTTGACAGGCCATGAAAAACTTTGGAATAAAATCTATTCATTCTAGTGGCGTATGTACAGGAAATATTTGATTTATTATCGCAAACATTTATAGCACTTGTTAAAGTCAAAAACAGTTCAACAAATTTACATGGATATGTTTATGTGTGTTTTTAAAGTACGATGTCGCACAAAATATATTTCGGTAAATTTGACTAAAAGAAATATTGACTCAAATTTACAAAACATATGAATCAGTATTAGTGAATACATTTCAATCTGAGGGAAAATAATTGAGTAATGTCTTAAAATGTGTAAAAAATCATATGTAAAAGACTCACAGTTAAATTCCTTGGCCATTTGCTGCTGTTGAAGCTCCGTCAGGTTGTGTTCCATGTCAGCACTTAGGCCCAAGCACATGCTGCAAAGTAAGAGAGGTTGAGAAATCCATACTGTGTGTGTGTGTGTAAATCATTCCTGCACATAGTAAGTCATTATATGTGAGAAAACATGCTTGACATATGCTTTAACAGAATATATGTTCCGTTCATTATTTACATTATGTAACTCAACATCTTCACTGAACCGTATTCTTCACGTATGTTTGCTCTTTGTTTACCTGATGTCATTTTTCCATATCAATATTTACTTTTACTTTTGCTTCTTCAAGTTATTTTTCTGTCTGTTTTTATCAAACTCAACAGTCTAAGGATAGAGGATGTTGTACCGTTTATAGATTGTAAAGGCAAGATTATGATTTTGTCCTTTTTAAAAAGAATAGACGTGGAAACACCTAGAGGATTATGTCAGGGAGTAATTTAAAGTGCAAGTGAAAGTTAGTTCACTTTAAATGAAAGGTGTTCTTATTTTAATAACATCTTAAAGATTTGCTGTTGAGTTGCTGAACCTTTAAAATAGTATTAGTAATTGTTTTGTCTCTTCTTACATCAAACAAGGTAGAAGGATATGAAAAACAATGAAAAAAAGGAAACATTACAGTCATACCCCTGATATGATATACTATACTGCATGATAATAACTGATTGCTGTTCACAGCTTGTTCCATGGACTGTATATAAAGACGGATGATGCATCTCCACTCCCTCAAATGAAGCCAAAATATCTCAGACAGGAAGCCGCCATCTTGTGGCCGTGACGACCGAGTCTGTGCCGGAGTCACGTGCTCGACCAATCAGGAGTCAGTGTCAGCTGTCAATCAGGACGTTTCACCTTGTTTTTTATAGAATCAAAACCAAACTATATAAATATACCTAAAACGACAGAAACCTTTGAGAAAAGTATATTTAACATGTACTTTGACTTTTTTGTTTGGTCCACGTCCAAACTGCTATCAGGCAGGGTTAATAAATTTATTTCCAGCCAGCCACGTGACAATCAAGATGCTTTAGCTTCACTTTTACTGAGTTGCTGTTATGTCCATCTTTATATAACGTCTATGGTTTGTTCTGGTCAGTGTCAGGATAGTGTTGGTGTACCTGAGGTCCTGCTGTCCCCAACTGTGTTTCTGACTCATGGTCAGTCGTGTTCTTTAATATCCTGAAGGTCTGTATTGGTAGAGCTCCAGCACAATTCAGCTTCGTCAAACCCATCACCGCTTCATTCTAGCCAGGGGGAGAGAGAACATAGAGCTGAAACATCCACACTTTGTTACAGCAGGTGAGTCAGAACGAAGCTTTAAATGCTAAAAACATGAATCCACCACATTCGGATTTTGCGTGACAGGACTCCATCCAGATGTTCTGGTCACGCCTTCATCAGCAGTTTGAAATGCTCATAAACAGGCCACATAAACTGTCGGATATTTAGGAGTGTATGTAATTTGGTGCAGATCCAAATAAATATCAGGATGCATTTAATTTAAATGTTTCATAAGGGGACTCTTGAGTTTTGGTGGAGGATTATGCTCTACTGAGTTCCATTCTAATTTATATGATCAACACAGCATGGCTACACACTTACATTCTACGTTGTGCACTGAAACAACACGGAGTGCATCAGAAGCATTTTGTGAATAAACCATCACATCTTCATCTTGTCCTGATTATTTGCAGTAAATAACAACATAACATTCGCTGCATAGTTTAGGTGAGCCTCCAGGAAAACAACAGTCACAACAAAAGCTCAGTAAATGACTTCAGTCTGCTCGGGCAGCTGCCATGTGTATCTCTTTGTGGTTCCAGCTTAAAGCCATCTCTCTGATGAGCAGGCTATTGCACAACCTCTGGGTCAGATGTGGGAGGGCAGCAGGCAGCGCTCCTCACCCTCCTCCTTCTCTGTGACCATGAAACCCTGCAGTATCCGCCCTCACAACAGGGGCTAATTGTGCAGCATTCCTGTGATGCTGAATGACAAACCCGCCAGTGCTTACACACACACACACATACGCACACAGAAACTTAAGGAAAAGTTCATGTCATTCAGATTTGGCTGTGGTTCCTATATTTTGATTACCTTCCAAGGAGGTTATGTTTTAACCCCTGACCGTTTGTTTGTTTGTTTGTCAGATGGATTACACAAAAACTACTGAACAGATTTCCATTAAGAAACAATCCATTAAACTTTAATGTGGACCTAGACAACGTTCTATCTTTCTTCTTTAACAAATATCGAAGTATGGTGCTTTTCAACACTTTTCACTGATTTTCCAGGGAATAATTCATGGATTCATGGTGAAATATTTAGGGGACTGATATCTATGAGTGTGTGAAATCTGGTGCAGCTTGGTTGAATTTAAGGGGACTGTTGTTGGGATTGGTGGATATGTCATTCTAGTTCATTTATTTATCATTTGAAGAAAAGGGACATGTAAAAACACCACACCACCACTAACAAGGAAATACTTTACTACTACAACAAATACTAAGTGTAATAAATAGTAGAAGCTTGGAGGTATTGCATGAAATATATGTCACCATCTACAGAGTGGTTAAAGAAACTTGTCAGAAAAATATGATAAGTGTGTTTGTTATATGTCAAATCCAAATCTCCATGTTTCTTAGATATTCGTCTTTTTAATATTAAACTACTGGTACATAAGTGACTGCCTCTTCTTGTTTCCTGATATGACAGCAGCTGTTCACATTTCCAATTGGAGACGGACACGTGTATTCTGGGTGAGGTGAGGATCATCCTGCTTTTATACGAGAGGTGACAACATCAGCTTTGCTCCCTTGGCTTTGAAGTGTAAAGCCAGAGCACAAGCTTAGATTAATCACATCGTCTGACAACTGACGGGGTTTAAAATTGAGTGACGGCCTTCTGCAGGCAGGACTCTACCCTGATGGCATGTCCATGAGCAAAGCACTCATTGTCTTCGAAAAGCAATGTAATTTCTGTAAAAATCTAAAATTCTGAACATCAAACTGTGCAGAATATTCCTCCTCTAGGGTTCAACACAATATTTATAACGTAGATACGACACAAACACTTAGTGCCCCAGTTAATAACACGAACAGCTATATTTCACAATAAAATATTAAATTTCAGGTAATGCTCACTTGAGTTTCTCTTTCCTGTCTGTATAAGCCTGCGGCAATTCACCTGCAAAACCACTAATTACAAATCCCCACACACACACACACACACATGCCTGGAGGCCTAAAGGTCTCCATCTTACTCTTCAAAGTCTTGCTTTGTTTCCTGTCCCTACAGTTGACGTGGGAAGCAAACAATGCAGCGCATGCATAATGCAACAACAAAAAAGAAACACTCCACAAACAAAACACAGTGAGTCGTGCATCTATTTGAATATTCATGTGATCCTTAAAACAACCGACTGTGGCGTCATTTCCGCCAGTGAACCTCGGAGATGGAAGACGCTGAACAATTATGAATTCTACCGGCAATTACTCAGTGTCCATGAATGGGGCCACTCTCAGGCATGAATGGGCCTTTGTGTCACTTTAGTGTGCAGCGAAACAAGCCTGAAAATCCAAGTGAACTCTCCCATGAGGTTAGGACTGAAGATACGCCATGGAGACAAGCAGACAGAGCCAAGGTATGGGCCTGCACCACAAATCCCCTGCAGGACAACCACGTGTTGGAAGGACAAACCAGAGACTCCAAAACACTTTGTTTATCTCTTGCGGGAGCCTTGATGTGTTGTCGTTGGCTGTTCCCACTTCACTTTATTCAGGCAAGAAGCCATTCACTGACTGGACCATAGACTCTAAAGCTGAGTTCAGACATGCAATGGACTCCACAGGTCCTCTGTATTTTCTCCAGAGGAGATGCATGTGGAACGCAAATGTCTGAGTGAAGCCCTTTTCAGAAATCACCTCCGGGTAAAATCCGAAGAATTGGCTACAGAGTTTACCCGTAGTCTGCCTTTCACACATGCACAATACAGCGGGAGCTTTTCTGCACAGACGCGTTCACAACAGCAACAGTTCCTCCACGTTATTCAGGTGAGAGGCGGAGCAGTCCGGTGCAGAAGAAAGAGACAGGAAGTGACGTATTATTTTATCCGGAGGTCATGTCTGAAAACGGCTTATATAAAGATGGACGGATGAGTGTCTTGATTGCCTTCTTGTGGCTGGTTGCAGTATAGGTCATAAATGCTGTCCCCTCCATGTTGGTGAATGGGACATGAGTTCCACTAAAAAGTCACAATACATGTCAAATAATTTTTTCTAAAAAGGTGATTTCTGCCATTTCACCTAGTTCTTATCATACTGATATTTGTCCAAGTGTTTTCTTTTTTTTTCTCACTACCGCTGCTCTATGCTATGATCGCTACAGCACAGACTCTGGCTCCAAATGATAAAAGATGACAGTGTTCGTATCTGTGATTTTTGGCTTCATTTCTGGATAGTGGGAGGAAGTGGAGACACTTTATACAGTCCATGGTAGGGGCCTTTAAAGATGATTTCATTATGATGCTACCATTAGGTATGTGTTTGCATCACTTTGTTACAACTTGCTTTAAACTCTACTGGCCAAATAATACACAGCCTAACGTTCTGAACCAAAATCTTTATGTAAATATTTCCACCTCAACATTAGCGTAACACCCTACAGCACACATGGTGCTGTAGGGTGTTACAGAAAGTTTTCAACAGCAGGATTTACAGCCTCTGAGTTTGGTGTGACCATGTGAAAAGTAAAGTCTCTGAATCCGACTCTTTGAATCTTGACTTAAATCCTCCTGACATGCTGGTGAATCATTAGTCTTTGGGATCGGCTCAATTCATTCATGAAGTATACTGTTTACTCATGCAGTTTGTTACGATATGAATCATTTTTCTGTTCAGGTTGATCAGATAATTAAGAGCCATATTTGATTGTAGAGGCTGATTCAGTAGGTGTTGGTGGAAGTTACCCTCGAAGATAGTTATGAATGACAGCTCCGGGCAGTAATTTTGACTTGTGCAATAAAACACCATCAATAATTAATGCCCTATAATTTTCCTCAATAACAGTACAACAAAAGCTCAATATGTATTATGTAATGGTATGCATTGAGTAAAGACATTGACGAGGTAACACGTAATTGATTTACCTCTTGTTTGTTAAATGTTTTACAGTTTCTCTACCAATGAAGAAGAGTTTAACACTACAACCTGCATTCAGTAGCAAAAATATTATAAAATATTATAATGTGACATTTATCATCTATAGAAAATGAAAATCTAATCTTGATATTGTTTTTGGCCACAAACCTAATTTTGAATTACACATTTACAATAATTATTTGGTACTATTGGTTTAGTTTAATCTAGCTTAGTTTAGTTTAGTTTATTTAGAACTTTTTCTAAAAGGTAAAATAAAAATACCTTTGTTGAACAAATATCACAAAATGGATATAAGCAGCATAAGTAGTAGTAGAAAACAAAAAGCAGAACAATATTCTCAATAACATATATTATTATACCTGTGGCCCAACATTTCTATAAAGATGAAGTAATTCAAAATGTCCCTTCATATGTTTATATGCAGCTTTCACATGTACTTGCATGCATATAAAACATTTAAATAACCCGAGTGAGCTAAAGTTAGGGACAATATTTATTTAACCATCATAATGTGATGGAAAGGGAACAATATTAAAGCAGCAGTTGGATTTTATGTTAACAATTTTATACAATTTGATTTAAATTTTACATTCAGGGTTGGAGGAGCCTAACTATGTTTGAATTGATTGATTGATTGATTCAAATTAAAATAGATTAAAATATGAATGAAACATTCTGTGGTGTCCATAAATGTCCCACTGTCCATGAGCTACATTTATTAGAGGAACACATGAGTCCCTCTCCAGCGCCCACTAGTGGCTCAGCGGGGACGGTCCCACAAACACCCCGCCTGTGTGGATCCTCGGGGCGGACATCGGGAGACAAGCAGCGGCTCAGAGGAGCACACTGTCCCGCTGCTCACAGAACGATGACCCGTAGTCGAGCTGTACCAGTCCACACTCAGTGCAACGTAAGAGTATTCTCAAAGAAACAACTACAACACTGTTTATATTTATATATTCTGTACTCTCTCTCTCTATATATATATATACGGACCGCGTCTCTCGTTCATCTAAATTCCCAGAGAGACAGAGAATCAAGTAATGTTGCTTTCTTCTCTATTTAAATAACATCACACAAAACGCTTCTCCTGACTTCATTAGATTATAAAACTCTCACTTTACATTAGTTATTGGTGTTTTCATGGGTAAATGGAAGAGAAGTCCTACCGTGAAGAAGCGGATTACTCCTCCATCACGTAGAGCTGCTGCTGCTGCTCCAGTCCAGCGATATACTCTGTCTGTGTGTGTGTCAGTACAGACTCCAGGTCAGATGTGACCCATGTGCCACAACATCCTCCTCTGTCACCAGCAGCAGAGACGCATCATGTCAGGGTGACGTGAGTTTCCACATCTCCTTATAAATGAGTCCAACAACCCGAGCACGTTACTGTAACTCCACCCTGCTGCAGCAGCCTGAGAGGAAAAACCTCCCTGACAAAAAAATCCCCAGGATCAATTCAACCGAAGTCAGAAAACTGCATCCTGGGCTGTGTGTGGACTTAAAAGATGAGATTTGCTACTTGATTATGCTCCAGACGAAAATATTATTTATTATATTATATATAATATTTATTTATATTTTGTATCCATTGCATTTGTCTCTCGTTACTTCACTCTTGTTACATTTTTTTAGGGTGATATTTGCCTTTGAGGTACTCAGGTGGAGTTACAGTATGTCTAAATTTAAATTTAATATATTGTATAAACAATGAGACACAACATGGCATATGTTTCATGAGACTTTAGACAAATCAATCTCCCCTAAAATACAATGCATTTTTCTTACTGACCATTTAAGCCACAACATTAAAATGTAACATGTATATTAAAGTATTAGTTGTTATAGTCCAATTAAACTCTGAAAGGTGTCATTCAGCATAATTAGTAGTTTTATTTGTGATCATTTATTAATTGCTTTTATGTCTGTATTATTTTATCAGGAATTTGTCCAGTAATGGAGTATTTAAAGGATCTGAACCTCGACCACTTCAAATCAGAGAAGTTGTCAGCCTGGTGAGTTTTCAGTTCAATATGCAAGTGAAAGAAGTGTGTATACGCCAACTGTCATTATGCCAAGTTTGTTGAAATCAGTGAGAGACATGTGACTATACTTCACGTCTAGACAAATATCTGTTCTCAATACTACGGAGCATTTATTCAACATTTTGAAAACAATGTTTCATCTATGCAAATGAACTCTATAGGTGAAATGGAAAAAGCAGTCTCCGGAATCAGAATTCAAATCTGCGCTGTAGTGAATGGGTGTATGGGAAATTGCCCTTCATAAACAATTTTGGTTTGACCTGTGTGGGAGTCAGAAAGAGTGTGTGGGTGGCTTCTGGCGTGCGTACAATATAGATCGTGGTGGATGAGGACTTGTTTTGAAGCCTGCATGTCACATCAGAGTTCACTGTCTGTTTGTCTTCACTCACGTTGAGAGGCACGGGGGCCATGTACGAGGCCGCTTACCAGAAAATAACAGGGTAGTGAGTGCAGGCCGTTCTTGTTCTGACCACAGAGTCCAGACCACACTGAGCCAACAGTCGTCCACCAAACTATCAAATCATTTTTTATTGTAGCAACAATCTGACAAATACATATTTAATATTTTAATGTGCTGAGTAATATAACCACCTTATAAAAGTGTAAGAGAGATAACTAATGACCCTTTGACCTTCCTTCCTTCTCTACTACTGTTCACTCATACCACAATACACCAATAAAATCCACACAGGGTCATATATGGACCAAGGAGTGCCTTATACCCACTGTAAATCAAAAACCCACAAAATAAATACATCACATTTAATGTTCTGCTGTGCTCATATTGCTGCAATCATCAAGTCTAACGTAACTTGTTTGCTTAAAGGCATACTCATGCTTTTGAGTAAATACGCAGTTTGATCAACTTCCTGTTGGGCAATAAAGTGATTGGTAGCACATGTGAGTCCAGTGTGGACATATAAAAAGAAACTGCCGTCACTTGTGACGTCAGGCTTTGCCCTTAAAGGGTAAAGCTGCAGCTCTCATCTTGATTTTGAAACATGTTTCTAAATACAATCAATCCTTGTTAAATTTAGTTTGCTCATTTGTTCCATTAAAAGTCAGACAGCATCGTCCCAAAAATCCTCATGTTTTGCCACCTGGACCAGCAGATAGTCTCGGCCCTGCCTCTCTGCTGTAGATCCATGGCCCTCGGTGGGCGCCCGCGGTGACCCAGGATGCACAGAGCTGTGGGGGTTGTTGTCGGGCCGGGCCAGTCTCCCACAGGGAAGGTCAAGTCATTTCCTGCTCTGAGAGACCTCCGCCCCTCACAGATGTCAGTGCAGTCAGAAGCCCACCTCCCACATCTGTAACCCCCCCCACCACCACCACCACCACCGCCCCACACCCCACCCTCCCTTGTGCTTTCCTTTTTTCAAAGACATGATGGATGGCTCTGAAGGAAGTCCCTCACATCAAGGAGCTCTTTTCATCATAACTCTCTTTTTTCACGAGCTCAGTCTGATTAAAGAGGTGAAACTTCAAGGTTAAAGCAAGAAATACACACCGGTGATAATTCAGGAAATATCAAGCTGGATAGATGGAGCAGATCAGTTTCCACGTCCCTCCATGAAAACGCTGTGAACAGCAGATAATCCCTGAAATGAAAAACATTTTAGAAGATTGATCTCTGCCCACCCCCTATCTAACAACCTCTCAAGCTGGAATATGAAATGAAGTAAGTAGGTGTTAACATATGTGTTCTATGGTAAGTACATTTGTGTAGGTTGGTGTGCTGACATGGTGACACAGGGAATTCTCTTATAGAAGAACCAGCTGCGTACAAACATGTAATAGTAATTAGAGCACCGTTACAGACTTGACAGACAAGGCCTGTGGCTGTTTCCAAAGTCACGGTCGACCAATCTTATGTTTGAGTTTCACATTTCTTGCAATTGCGGTGATGTCGCCCTGTGAAGCTAAAACACTTTTAAAAAATAATCAATTTGTGAAATGCCTCAGTTACAGCTGCTGCATGTATAAGGAGGTGAAATTCCTATCTATTAAATCAGAAGTTTATTAACGGATGAGTAAACCTTGTGGTAGGGCACTGGGGCATTGTCATCCAACGCTGCACTACTTCCAGAGAAGTTAGTTATCAGGACATTTTCAAGTTGATTGCTGTCAACTTCTTTTTCTTTGCTTCTCTGTTACCACCCACCACTTCCTTCTGCCTGACATGGAACAGTCATGTTTGACGTTTTCATTTCAAAGTGCACGGCCAAACAGAGGATGTGTTTTAAATAAGGGGTTAAAGAGGTTTCCAAAAGTTCTGTCCTGTAAAGTTCTGGATCAGCACCATTCATAAATGTATCGCTGCTGCCTACTGAGTTGTGCGCAATGTGAAAAACACACCCTTCATTTAATCGTTTTTAATTTAATGGATTTGCGGTTGGGTCTGACAAGTTGGAGGCGTCAGGAAGGATTCGGGCTCCTCAAATGTCTGAGTGGGCTTCGCACCACAGCCTTTGACCTCATCCTGTGAGGAGACAGCTCAGTTATCGCAGAAGCCACAGCCACTGGGAAGAAGAGGATGAGCCGAAGAATGATGTTAGTGCTGCTGCTTTTAACTGTTGCATAGCTCAGCAACTGCCAAAGAAAATCTATTTTGTTATTATCTATTCTAACGCAAAACTGACTTTTGTAATTGCACCAATTGTATTACTAATACAATGGACTGTGAAAAAAATGTAATAACAAGCAAATGACTGGATTAGAGATGGAAAACACACAGTTCAAACACGTACAAATACACAGCTTTATGTGTGGCCAGGCTATCCCTGAAAAAGACAAGAAACAAATGAGTTTTTGTCATGCCCTGAGTGGAAAGACAAAAGAGGGTCAGGGGGAAAAGAAGTGACTGAGGAAGTGGCTTGGATTACAGTGATTTAAACTCTGTGACATCTGATTTCATGGTGACAGCTTCAATGAATGCCAGAGAACCAAGCATGAAAAGAGCAATTCTTTACCCAGGATGCAACACAGGGGGCCTGGGCAACGTCGCTGCCCATGGTTTCAGGGCAGTGTGTGCAGGCCCAGCAGGAGGCCTTCCGCTGTGTGTGAAGTTGATCTCCAATTCAAGAGTTATCATAGTAGCAGAGTTTTAAACCTGTCTGTTTGTGATGTTCTGGCGTCTTGGGTGATTTTATGCTCAGGAGCTACTTCATAATTATTCCTTGTAATTAGTGAGTCCTCCTCAAACACTTCTACAACATACTCTCATTTGTTATTGTGTGTGTGTGCAGGGCTTTTTATAACAGTCTATGGTGCAGAGTGAAGTGTGAAAACTTTGTGATCATCCTACCTGGTTTATCTGCATTGAAGATTTTAAAATGACACTGAATATGTTTGAACAATTTATTTAACTGGAGATTTTTTAATTCAGCTTGATAGAAAGCTTTACAGCAACAAAACAGACACTGTGCTTTGACTTTGAAGACAACTTGCTCAAGAGGAAATGATTCAATGAATGTTGCTGCCATGAAGACAAGCACCTGTGAATTATCTGGCTGCAATTTTGGCTTGGGATTTGACCCAGTTGCCGCCCAATGCTGTAGTTTTTAGAAAACATGTTTAAATCGGTCCAAAGGCTGAAGGCTCACTGCCCGCACCCACTGAAGGCTACAGAGCGCTGGTCGCCTGTTTATTAGAACTTTAATATTTAATAGTGAATGTCCAAATTGCACCAAATTCGACATTGCACATTCTCGGGCTATTTACGATACACATTCCAAGGGAGTAGCCGATAAGATGAATATTCTGCGAGATATACGTTCCACATACAGACAGACAGACATTTGTGGAATTAGTAGGTAGATGGTCTGCGCTTGGCATGAAAAGGATTTGTTGACACAAGTTTGCTGGATATGGACAAAGGTGTTTTTTTTGTGCAAATGGTAAATGAACATGACGGGAAGACACTGTCAATATTTGCTTTTTTCTTCACAATGTGTGCAGCGTGTTCTGGGGCCAAAGTCGATTTCCAGAGCGGTCGCTCAGGAGGGCAACATCCGACACTATTGCTAATATAGTTGTTCGACTCTTGTTTTTGTACCTTGTGTGTGGACGTGTGTCATGTCTCTATATTGTACAGAGTAGCAGCGGACTTTTGGGGTGAGGCCAGCTGTGTCTTCATGGCCCCTATATATCCTCAGGAAAACCATGGTATGCTCACTCTTTGTCTCTCCACGCAACATAGCTCAGAGTCCTGAGGCATGACAGAGTCAACCTTCTTGCTCCCTCACCCTATCTCTCACTCCCACCCTTCTCTCACCTTACGTACTGCAGCTCCATCATTTCCTGTTGAGTCACAGATAGAGCCAGACTGCACCAATGTTTTACAGTTTACTGCTCCCCTCTGTGCTTTCCTCCTCCACTTCCTCGTTCGAAGATGCCAGTCCTGTAAGTAGAAAAATAGCAGTGTGACTCTATCACAGCCCTCCAGCAGATATTTTTGCGTGAAGAGAAAAGTCAAGGCAGATGTAGGAGTCTCTTCCGGGCAACATGACTGATTCATAAAGGGAATGACTCACAGAATCATTTGATTATTAGCTCTGAAAATGACCACATCACTCGCCACATTAAGTCTATATCTAACCAGTCTATATCAGTATTGGAAAAAGTAGAGCTTCAAGCAAAAAGAGGGTAAAAAGTAACCTGATGACAGAAAAGATGAAGTCTTTACATAACCTTTCCATAAATTATGACCAGAGTTAAATTCTTTGGAATAATATTATTTCATAGAGCTATTGGGAGTTCAGGCGTATCCAAGTAAGCTGGGAGGAAGTGATGCTGAAGTGAGGTAAGGACTCGAGTAAATGAAGGCAGTGAGAGAGGGTTGAGGGCAGGGCTCAGAGAAACGAAAGGGCTCTGTGGCGGATTGGTTGAGTCATTGAAAAATACAGCTGCTGACTCAGTTTGCAAACTCGTCCTGGAGCACGTTGCCAGCCAGTCTGGCATCTTGTGTCAGTGTGTGTGAGGGAAAGAGAGAGCAAACATCCTCGTACAGATAGGTTGAGAAAATCTCTAAATGTTGGTCTTTAGTGGAAGAAGAGAAAATGTATAGTCAGAGGTTCAAATTTTAAGGAGGTGATTACATCAAATGGAAAATGAAGCATTGAGTGTCCATTCACACCACTGGTGTATACTCACATCCTGGCACAGTGATTAATTTCGTCATACCTTCAGTTTTCTTTACACACCCTTCTTGCCACAGTACTCATATGACTCTTAGTCCCACCATCAACACAATGTGATCCATCTGGGAGTATGGACCCTTGGCCACACTCCAGAGTTAGTCATCCTGGCTGTGTTGCAAGGTCCACGAGTGGTGTGCTGTTCAGGGAGTAATTAAGAAAGGACGCCTCCCTCCATAACGGAATGTGATTGCCTGATAAAAGTGTAGAGCAGTTTTTTTTGTGTGTGTGATGCAGTGTGAGTTATACTATATCCATGAACAGTAATAACCTGATTCGGTTTTACTCACTGGTTTAAATTTAGTCTCAACAACATTGCCTTTAAGCCAAAAATGACAATCAAAAAGGGCTGAATGCAGGTGTCATCTGCCTCTACGTGTTCAGACCACAGACCATCTGACATTCCTCTCCAGAAATTAAGCGAAAATATCCCAGATTCGCCGCCATCTTGTGCCTTTGGAGCCAGAGTCTGTGCAGTAAATGTCAAAAGATGGAGCTGTGGTAACAAGGCCCAGCTGATACACACAAACAACCAATCTTCAACATATACTTTTTGGTTTGGTCCATGTCCAATCCAATAACATGGAGGAGGCTTTGGCTTTACTTTTGGGGAGCAGTCATGTTGTCCATCCTTGTATAAAGTCTCTGATTCAGACCTGAAACAGCCTGACTTAATGCTTTCATTTGAAGGTTTCCCAGACATTGAGTGCATCAACCAGGACTTAAAATAAAGAAATAGTGATTATAAATCTTATGCTGTAACACAAAATTAATTTAGGAAAAACCACATTATACGAGAACAACATACAAACATACACGACGTACACTCCACATTACATAGAACAGCAACCTATTTCCTGTGACCACACTGTGTCACCTATTCGAAGGAGTTGAAATATTAATTCATGGCTACCTCATAGATCTGAGTGTATGTAACTTCTACCATCCCACTGTTCCCATAAAGAGTGGCACCATGCTCCTTATTTTGTTGACTGCTATACCAAAGCTACTGGCTGCCTGCTCCTGTTGTCGTCAGTGCATTGCCCTTAGTTCCACACAGTCCTTATATGCTTTATCATTACTGCTGTGGCTTTCACAAGTGCTAATTACTTTGTAACACAATAAACTATTATCACCCCAGACCACTGTTCACTAGTAATAAAATGAAACAGTGACACCTTGTGTTTGAAACATGTTACTTGACAGTGCTGTGAAATTAGTCTGGATACTTTTACTTTACTAACAAATGCTTGGCAGAGAAGACAGAGGAGAGGTTTTTCTATTGTTACTCATTATCTATGAGATCACAACAGTTTTAAACTAAAGGGAGGTTATATTATTGATTGTATGATTTATTGTTTATATAACACAGATTACAATATAACTATACAATGATCATTTTCCACTCAGCAAAACTTATGTAAATGCCTTTTGTAGAAAATAGTTGTATTAATACATTATATTTTAGTCAGAAATCAGAAAAGCAGTATATCTCTCTTTATACAAAGCGACATAGGAGCAAGAATTAGCCATTGAAAGGTAAAGTAAAAACCCTGGATCACATTGGTTCCCATAGGGCGAAGGGCTTTCTGTCAAATAACCAGTAGTTTAGTTCATTAGTACTTTTTGTCTTCAGCTATCCTGACTAACTGATGGCATTATAATGAAAAACAAATGTTGTGGCAAACATGATTTAATTTAAAAAATAGTCCTTCAATTAGTCACACAAACACAGACAGCAGTAGATTCCCTGAGTAAATGGAAGAAAATCATGAGCATCAAAACACAAAGCTTTGTTCAGTCATTCATTAGTCTAATTGTGTCTTTGATCATCCAGGTATCATAGGTCATTTTCAGACATGACCTCTGGAGAAAATCTGCAAAATTTGGTCCCGACTTTCTCCGGAGTTTGCCTTTTACACGTGAACAATGCAGCTGAAGATTCTCAGCTCGGACACGTTCACAACGACACAGAAATCTCTGGAGCATTCAGGAGAGGGGTGGCGCAGCGTGTAGGAGGCAGAACGTAACGTATTGATTCCCCTGCGGAGATCACGTGTTTTTTGTTTGTGGCACATCAATACCAACGTCACCCCTTATCATTTAAAGCTCTTTTGACATCTCCTCTAGGTGCATGGCACAACATTCATCTAGCTTTGGCTACCATTACCAATGTACACCACCCTGCCCTCCAGACGAGAACGCTCGGCTTCAAACACCAGCAGGTGGCTCAGCAGCGTCTCCTCAGGACCCGATCGGATCAGGGATGGATCATTGTTCTGTACACACACGCAAACACACAGAATTAAATCACAGTGAAACATAGTTTCTGTGTTTATCCCAAATAGCTACAGTTACAAGAACGACAAAACTGTTCAAAAATGATTCAAATCAAATCCTTTCTTTTTTTGCAAAAACCAAATGAGTTAATTATGGTTTTGGCAAAGGAGGAAAATAACAGCTCTATAGAGTTTACTCACTGCCACAGCAGAAATAAAAGCGTCCATCAGGTGGTAGTCTGCTCCACCGTGTCCACTCATGCAAAACTGTGAGGGAGTATTATCCTGTACTGTGTACTTGGTAGAACTCTGGGTCAGAAAGTCAAATACGCAGACATCATGGCCATCGTATGACAGCTCCCCCTGGGAAAACACATGTCAGTACAGAGAAACTGTAGCACGTAGCTGATACATCCATCAGTGATGTGCAGTACAAGATCGGGAACATACATCACAATTAGACAACTCTTAATCCAGTACAGCTTTGATTTGTGTTTTTTTAAATTGTCGTCTTACAGGCTGCGTTTTAATGGTTAACTGCGTTTGACCTGGTGTGGATCCAGATCAGGGGGCTGATCCAGGATTTCATTTTTTCCACTGTCTTTAACATTTTTGCAGATTTTTTTTGAGAATCATGTGTGAACGTCTGTGAAAATTTCAGACATACACTGTCGTTTTTTTAGCTGCTGTATGGTAACAAATGGGGCTGTTGGGCCTTGGTGGAGGAATGCGCTCTACTTAGTGTAATTCTATTTTTTCCTCTTGTATTTTAAATTTTTTTCATTTTCATTTCTGAATTCCACATTTCTTTCTGTCCTACCTTGCTGCCATAGATGGTTGTTTTTCGCTTGCATATTTCCTTAGTGAAGGCGACCATAGAGAAGACCGCTGTCAGGCCCCCTTCAAACTCCATGTTAACAACCTGGTCAAACACAACAGATGAACAAAAGTGGGAAGTATTTTATGCCTCTAACTGTAAATAATGACCTCACATATATAGTTTTCTAAATTCTATCTTGGAAAATGGTTAAAATGTCTTTTTTCAAAAGAGATAGAAATATTACATCAGCAAATGAATAGAGGCGAAAGGGTAAAGGATGTAAATAATACAATGGCAACTAGAGCAATAGTTCAGAGTGGACAGGTACAAAAGGGCAATACAGCCTGTGGCTTCATCCAAAATACAAACAACATTGGGACAATGTGCGGCTTATTCTTGAAGGAATGTGAGTTGATGCTGTAAAACAATTCAGACAATAATTATCCCTTTAATTCAAGCAGAAACAAAGAGGGTTCAAGCTCGATAGTGAGTTGTGCCAAGGAAATTAAGAGTCAGTCTTGAATCCGCTATGAAGCCACTGTTACCTGATTACTACAGACATCGTTGTCACACTCGTAGACGCAGCGGCCATATGGTCCAGCGCTAAGAGCCTCGGTTACTGACTCGATGTCTGGCAGCGAGCTCTGACATATGACTGATACAGGCCAGCCAGTGTGACCCTGGAATATATGCATATACACACAGCACATAAAAGATGATGTATAACAGATAAATGGTCCTATTCATCAATGTGGTAGATCATCTGAGAAGTGTTCACCTGTTTCACTCTGTCCAGGTAGATTTTGCGAGCAGAGTATGGACAGTCTCTTTCTACTGAACAATCCAGGCAGCGATCTGCAGCACCCGCAGGCTGACAGACCACAAACAATATCATTGATAATATTCATGCTCAGGACAGAGAGTTCTGTCCACAGTAGAGCAGAGGACTGTCATATATGTAATACATCTTTTGATGACACAAAACAAAATGGTGAAAGGGTGTTAAGTGCTGTGATGCAAAGTGATGTGCTGGTTCACAAGGATCTACAAGCTGCTTCAGAGATATACACTGAATAAACGGGTTGTTTCTATCAGCAGTTGTTATATGAGTGATTATTTGTGTTGGACCACGTACCTTGTTGTCTTTTCGGAAGTGGCTGACTGATCCAAATGATGACAATTTCAAACACCTGCAAAGTAAAAACTGTTGGGTTCAAGCTTAATATTAGGAAAAACTGTTGTATTTGTGTTTTGTCATTATTCATAGTTATTTATCATAAAGTCTGTTGATAAATTGTAAGCTATTAAACCTTGATTCAACATTATATTTCTAAACCTAAAGCCAGCGTGGAGTTCAGCATTGACTCCTGTCTGATGGTTTACCTGCGTGCTCCAGCCCAGTCATGTATCAGGTCGATGTCGTGGCACGACTTGGCCAAAAGAACAAAAGAGCTCTCGGCTTCATTCCTCCAGTTCCCCCGAACAAATGAGTGTGCAAAGTGATAAAACCCAACCTAGAACATAGGTCGATGCTGCTTTTAAACAAACTGTACACATGTGACATCATATTAACTTCAAGGGTTCATAGCTCTGTACAATGTTTAGGTGCATATAAGTATGAAATGGAACAATATCAGCTTTATGAAGATCTTTTTAAATCATCACAATAATGTGTAGAACTAACAGTTGGGCCACGTGAATTAATAAA